CAACTTTTGGAATTCATCCTTCAACATAAACTCGAAGCGGGAAAGTGTATCAAACCTTTATATACAGCATATTTAAAACAAATGAATCCAAAATCAAAGCAGATAAAATTAAACCACTTGCAACACCAAAACCTCCAACGACAGTACCTCCTCCTTCAGTTAATCCTTCATCATTCACTTTATTATATCCATTTCAAACATTTAAGAAGCAAAAAGATTTTAAAAAGGATTTCAAGATATTAAATAAACCAATTGACCCGAAAATTCAACCATTAAAGGAAAAATTTAGTCGACCTTCATTTGCTCCATATCCATATTCATACGAAATCGATCATCTGGAATATTCAAAAGGAAACGTTACTTATTTATTTGCCATTAACATTAACACTAGATATTTATATTGCATTCCGGTGAAAGGGAAAACAGAACAGGAAACAAGAAGAGCTATTCAATACTTACTAGATCATGAAAGAGTAGATAATATCAGGGGTGATGGTGATAAAGGATTTCAGGCAGCTATGACTCATTATTTCCCACAAATTAATTTTTACTTTTCATCCTCTCCATATACGTTTCATAATAAAATAGTTGATGCGGTAATGAGAACTCTTAGAGATGCGTTAGGGGTTAACGGTCGGATATACTGGGATGGAAATCATGACTCCATCATACAGCAGTTAGTATATTATTACAATAATACATGGCATAGAACTATAAATATGAAACCGGTGGAAATGAAAAATGATATTTCAAAAGAATGGGAATATATTAGAAAGCAAATGGAAAAGTTAAATGATGTTAAACGTGAACAAATTAATTCGGGGCTCATGAATTTTAAACAAGGAAATAAAGTTTTGATTCATCTCGATTATGGAAAAACTGATAAATCAATGACAAAAGAAGACGAAGATTTGACACAATAGCTGAATTTGTTAGATATATTAACGGCAATGCATTAGTTGAAGTTGACAAGAAATTAATAGAAATTCCGATTTATTTTATTACTCCATTATATTTAAATAATATTTAATTTTTTTTATTTCGTAAGAAATGAGTGACAACAAAGCAGTCAAGAGTCCAGACAATGAATATAAAAAGAAACTAAACAGAATTAAATCAAAAATATGCTATTACAAAAAGAAGTCGCAATGCGGTGGGGTTGAAAACAATAAAACTAATGGAAATGAAAACGATAAAGAGAGGAAAGAAATAATCGAAAAATTAGAAACTTACCGTTCAATCATTAAACTGAGTGAAGCAAAAATAAAAGAATTTAATAGAATAAATAAATTGGTTAGAAGAGATGAATTTAATAAAGATGAATTTTTAAACTCTATCCAAATTTAATTTTTATTCCTCTTCGACAACATCTCTCTTTCCATCATTACTGCATAACCACATTTTCTCAATTTTAGTGGTTTGTTATTTTTAACATGTTCTTGCATCATTTTTATCATTTCCTCCCTTGTTATGATTCGTGGTAAATTTTGAGCTTGTGGGGTATTCATTTATGATAAAAATAAAAATTTAAATTATGCCGTTCTAAAGTTTGTGACAACAGTCACTGTGTGACGAGACCTGAAGGTCTTGACATTTAGACAACAACATAGGAGGAAGGCAGTTATGAATTATTTTTGAAGAACTGTAGGTGCTACCATGTTACCATGTGCTACCAGGTCATTTAACTTCTTTTGAAAAATGAGACAACATGACATTTAGACAACAACATAGGGGGGAGGCAGTTATGAATTATTTTTGAAGAACTGTAGGTGCTACCATGTTACCATGTGCTACCAGGTCATTTAACTTCTTTTGAAAAATGAGACAACATGACATTTAGACAACAACACAGGAGGAAGGCAGTTATGAATTATTTTTGAAGAACTGTAGGTGCTACCATGTTACCATGTGCTACCAGGTCATTTAACTTCTTTTGAAAAATGAGACAACATGACATTTAGACAACAACATAGGAGGAAGGCAGTTATGAATTATTTTGAAGAACTGTAGGTGCTACCATGTTACCATGTGCTACCAGGTCATTTAACTTCTTTTGAAAAATGAGACAACATGACATTTAGACAACAACACAGGAGGAAGGCAGTTATGAATTATTTTTGAAGAACTGTAGGTGCTACCATGTTACCATGTGCTACCAGGTCATTTAACTTCTTTTGAAAAATGAGACAACATGACATTTAGACAACAACATAGGAGGAAGGCAGTTATGAATTATTTTTGAAGAACTGTAGGTGCTACCATGTTACCATGTGCTACCAGGTAAACTAACTTCTTTTAAAAAATGAGACAACATGACATTTAGACAACAACACAGGAGGAAGGCAGTTATGAATTATTTTTGAAGAACTGTAGGTGCTACCATGTTACCATGTGCTACCAGGTCATTTAACTTCTTTTGAAAAATGAGACAACATGACATTTAGACAACAACACAGGAGGAAGGCAGTTATGAATTATTTTTGAAGAACTGTAGGTGCTACCATGTTACCATGTGCTACCAGGTCATTTAACTTCTTTTGAAAAATGAGACAACATGACATTTAGACAACAACATAGGAGGAAGGCAGTTATGAATTATTTTTGAAGAACTGTAGGTGCTACCATGTTACCATGTGCTACCAGGTCATTTAACTTCTTTTGAAAAATGAGACAACATGACATTTAGACAACAACACAGGAGGAAGGCAGTTATGAATTATTTTTGAAGAACTGTAGGTGCTACCATGTTACCATGTGCTACCAGGTCATTTAACTTCTTTTGAAAAATGAGACAACATGACATTTAGACAACAACATAGGAGGAAGGCAGTTATGAATTATTTTTGAAGAACTGTAGGTGCTACCATGTTACCATGTGCTACCAGGTCATTTAACTTCTTTTGAAAAATGAGACAACATGACATTTAGACAACAGGGGAGAAAATTCATGTCTTACAAAAATAAAGTTAGTTTTAAAGTTATTTTTATTTTTTATTCCTATATAAATGACAGCAACAAACAACAACATCGACTTTATCGTTTCTGATGAAAAAGTTATTGATTCATTAGCTGAGGAATTAGTTGTGGCAGAAACTAAAACCCTCAACGAAAGAATTGGTGAAAATAAGATTGATTTACATAACTACCTCAAACATGATGGAGGAAGAGGAAGGAAAACTGGTACAGCTTTATTAGCAAATAAAATTTCAAATTTAACGATTATAGATGTTGATATCAATAAATCGTACAATGATGAACTTAAAGAAACAGTTAGAAAAGATATTTTATCAAAACTTTCGGATAAAGATGTTATCGTTAAAACCGCTTCAGGAGGTCTTCACATTTATTGCAACACTAATTTCTTCTATTCAACCTCGAACAGAATGATTAAATGTTATTCCTGCAATGATTATGATATTGATATCATGACTTCAATGGATGATTCAAAGCGTTCATTAGTGGTTATGGCTGATTCAAGAGTTCGCAAGAATGCATCAGAACCAATCAATACATACTCATTCATTCGTGGAAGTTATGATTCAACATTAACTAGAACAGTGAATGATATATTAAATGATTTGAATATTAAGGTAAGAGTTGAACAAAAGAATGAAGAAATAAAGAATATAATGAATGAAGACAAAGATGTAAACATTGACGATAAACTTGCCCAGAGCATAGTTGATGGCATCAGTGATTTTGAAGTACATAATGATGGTGGAAACATGAATTTAGAAAAAGAAGTTACATTATTCACACTGTTTCAAGCTATTAATTCATTACCTAATCATTTTATTAATGAAGCATACGACAACGTTTATAACTTCTGCAATTTAACAGAAAATGCAAAAAGTAATTTTGAAAAAGCACGTGATAGATATGCACATTTAATGACTTCTCCATTTGTTTTGGTAAAGATTCTAAAACTATATCAAAAGGAATATTATGATGAATATGTTTTACCTTTATTACGTAAGCCAAAAATAACATTTGATATAAAACTTGATGACTCGTTTTTGATAACAGATATTAGACGCAAGGCTGAAAATCATCAGTATAAAAACAGTTCTGAAGTAATTGAGGATTTATCACGTGTCATTCGTTTTGTAGATTGTGGAAACAAATACTTCGTTCAAAAAGACTATAATATTCATGATAAAATGAATCAAATATCATTCGTTCTTCAATCAAACATGAAAGAGTCACTCAAAATGATTAAATTATTTAAAGAAGAAGGTAAAACAATAACAGCATGGGACGTACTACTAAATCAATTGTCTTCATTAACTGTTAAGGGTGTTTGCTTTAAATCTGATTCCCCAGATGTTTTCTCAACGTTTCAAGGTTATAAATACAACATTCTCGAAAAAGTAGATTACTCAAAAATTGAGATGTTTATGGATTTCATTAAAGAAGTCATTTGTGATAATAACGATGAAGTGTATAAATACCTTCTCGGCTGGATTGCATCAATGATTCAACATCCTGGAATCAAGAATGAAACAGCAATTATTTTGAAAGGACTTCAGGGAACAGGTAAAAACAGATTTACAGACATTATTTCTGAACTTCTCGCTGGTTATTCATGCAAAAACATTACTGAAATAAGTGAGTTAACGGGTAATTTCAACTCAGTAGTTGAAAATAAAATGTTTCTTGTACTTAATGAACTCAAGAATGTTGGTGAAGATAGACTCGCAAACTTCAACGCTTTGAAATCAATTATAACGGATAATGAGATTAGAATTAATGAAAAGAATCAACCCAGAAGAACTGCTCAGAATGTTGCCAATTTCATTTTCGTAACTAATAACGTTTACCCTGTCAAAATTGAAGTTGGAGACAGAAGATATGTAGTTTTAAGGGTTAATGGTAAATTCAAGGGTCAATTTGATTACTTCAAGAATTTAATGGATTCATGCACAAAGGAATTTTATGATAATTTACTGACGTATTTTATCAATTACGACCTTTCATCATTTAATGTACGAATCATACCGATGACTGAAGCCAAACAAGATTTAATTGAATTATCAACAAATCCTTTAGATGAATGGATAAATACACATTATGATGAATTGTGTGTAGGTATGACGTGTAAAAATGCTCTATTCTGCAAACCATCAGACATGAAAGACAAGAATTTTCAAATGAGCATTAAGGATAAATGTGATAGGAAACATAGAAGAATAGACGATAAACAAACATGGTGTTATGTTTTGAAAGAAGAAATGAAAGGATTATATAAACAGGTTGAACCAAACGATAATGAGGATTCATTTACTGACGATGAAATACCTGTAAATGAAGCTTTATAAAGTATGATTTGAATTTATTTTTGCCTTCCTCCTGTGTTGTTGTCTAAATGTCATGTTGTCTCATTTTTTAAAAGAAGTTAGTTTACCTGGTAGCACATGGTAACATGGTAGCACCTACAGTTCTTCAAAAATAATTAATTATTGAATAACCGGAAACCATTAACGTAAACATTATTTTTGGATCATTTACACTCATTAACGATGAAGAAGTCATGACAAAACATTAACGCTCATGTTTGACAAAACATTTACACTCATGTTTGACAAAACATTTACGATGAAATCATCATGACAAAACATTAACGCTCATGTTTGACAAAGCATTAACGATGAAGAAGTCATGACAAAACATTAACGCTCATGTTTGACAAAACATTTACACTCATGTTTGACAAAACATTTACGATGAAATCATCATGACAAAACATTAACGCTCATGTTTGACAAAGCATTAACGATGAAGAAGTCATGACAAAACATTAACGCTCATGTTTGACAAAACATTTACACTCATGTTTGACAAAACATTTACGTAAACATTTATTTCCTGTGTTGTTGTCTAAATGTCATGTTGTCTCATTTTTTAAAAGAAGTTAGTTTACCTGGTAGCACATGGTAACATGGTAGCACCTACAGTTCTTCAAAAATAATTCATAAATGCCTTCCTCCTGTGTTGTTGTCTAAATGTCATGTTGTCTCATTTTTTAAAAGAAGTTAGTTTACCTGGTAGCACATGGTAACATGGTAGCACCTACAGTTCTTCAAAAATAATTCATAACTGCCTTCCTCCTGTGTTGTTGTCTAAATGTCATGTTGTCTCATTTTTTAAAAGAAGTTAGTTTACCTGGTAGCACATGGTAACATGTAGCACCTACAGTTCTTCAAAAATAATTCATAACTGCCTTCCTCCTGTGTTGTTGTCTAAATGTCATGTTGTCTCATTTTTTAAAAGAAGTTAGTTTACCTGGTAGCACATGGTAACATGGTAGCACCTACAGTTCTTCAAAAATAATTCATAACTGCCTTCCTCCTGTGTTGTTGTCTAAATGTCATGTTGTCTCATTTTTTAAAAGAAGTTAGTTTACCTGGTAGCACATGGTAACATGGTAGCACCTACAGTTCTTCAAAAATAATTCATAACTGCCTTCCTCCTGTGTTGTTGTCTAAATGTCATGTTGTCTCATTTTTTAAAAGAAGTTAGTTTACCTGGTAGCACATGGTAACATGGTAGCACCTACAGTTCTTCAAAAAAATTCATAACTGCCTTCCTCCTGTGTTGTTGTCTAAATGTCATGTTGTCTCATTTTTTAAAAGAAGTTAGTTTACCTGGTAGCACATGGTAACATGGTAGCACCTACAGTTCTTCAAAAATAATTCATAACTGCCTTCCTCCTGTGTTGTTGTCTAAATGTCATGTTGTCTCATTTTTTAAAAGAAGTTAGTTTACCTGGTAGCACATGGTAACATGGTAGCACCTACAGTTCTTCAAAAATAATTCATAACTGCCTTCCTCCTGTGTTGTTGTCTAAATGTCATGTTGTCTCATTTTTCAAAAGAAGTTAAATGACCTGGTAGCACATGGTAATGGTAGCACCTACAGTTCTTCAAAAATAATTCATAACTGCCTTCCTCCTGTGTTGTTGTCTAAATGTCATGTTGTCTCATTTTTTAAAAGAAGTTAGTTTACCTGGTAGCACATGGTAACATGGTAGCACCTACAGTTCTTCAAAATAATTCATAACTGCCTTCCTCCTGTGTTGTTGTCTAAATGTCATGTTGTCTCATTTTTTAAAAGAAGTTAGTTTACCTGGTAGCACATGGTGACCCCCCTCATTTATTCAAAAATTCTGTAATTTCATAACTGAGGTATGCTGAATTGGAGCTCAGGACTTTCAATCCGTCCGAAACCATGCATAAACTGTCATATAAGGTGGCATGTAATCTTTACTCTGTCCCGTCGTTTGTGTATATCCTGAAACATTATGTGTATGATTACCTGAACCCTGTGTATCGTTCCAGTAACAATTAATAGCAAATTTAACGTCATCTTTAACATCATATCCTTTACCTTTTGTCATTCCTGACCAATCCCAATATCTATGCTTATGCCATCCTGCTTCGGTTGTGTTTAAATTAACGTAATGACTGTGAGCAGGTAAATTTTCACCCGTAATTGTTTTACTTCCACCGGTTTGTTTTGATGAGTTTGTACAATATAAAAAACGATCGGTTATCTGCTGCCATGTACCAAATCCAAATAATGTTGATGGATTTGTTGAATTCATTGATGTATATATTGAACCAATGGGGTAAATCATCTCAAACATTGTATTTAATCAGTATTAACCCATTCCTTATCTGCTTTCTTCTTTAACTCAGTATTAACCCATTCCTTATCTGCTTTCTTCTTTAACTCAGTATTAACCCATTCCTTATCTGCTTTCTTATTTAACTCAGTATTAACATATTCCTTATCTGCTTTCTTCTTTAATCCATTATGAATATTGAATTTATTATATAATATTGAAATCGTGTAAGAAGTTAAAATTGGTATTGTCATCAATATTAACATATTATTTTTGAAAATTGCTTTTTTAACATCTTGAAATTTTGTGATTTCAGACCAATTTTTTCCATCACTACTGATATTTACTAAATCACCACATCCAAAAGCAATGAAATACCCATCAATATAAAACAAATTTGTAAATCTATAATTTCGAGTAAATTTTGGAGTGAATGAATAAACCAATTCCCAATTTGGTGTTTTCTCTGGATCCTGTGAAAAATCTTGTGATAAATAAATATGTCTGTTATAACTTACAGGATATGAATACAACATACTACCTGAAACAAGAACACAAACATTTGAAGCATAACATAAAGCTTCAATGTCTCCATCAGCTTGAAAAATTTGTTCAAAACGACCAAATGGTATTGAATATGATCTATAAATTTTATCATTTTGTAGGATAAAACACATGTTGTTAATGTAATACCATTTACTTGTATAATCAATTTTCAAATCTGATGACATCATACTAAACATATAATAATTTATCCCATCCTCACTAATGAAAATTTGATTGACTTCATAAATTAGTACCCATTTATTATTAACACATCTAATAGGATTATTTGGATATTTAAATTTAACATCTTGATTTAAATTACATTTGAACCATTGGATACAATCGAATGAATAACAAGGGCAAAAATCATCTCCAACCGTTATCATTCCCATAAATTTGCCGTTATTATATTCAACATAAAAAATTCTTGGATTAATGATTGGCTCTCGTGTATCAGGATTCAAAACGGATGGAGTAAATGATTCATAGTTTTTAAAATCATTTGTTTTAAAATAATAAAGCACTCCGCCTGTATAAAATAAATACATGGTCACTCCATCGAAACATAACCATTCAATATCTTCAAATGTTTTATCTGATGATTTCATAAAATTTAAAAATGGTGGGGTAAAATAGACCTCCGATTGTTTTATTTCTTCATTAACAAATGATATATCAGCTTTCTTTGCTAACTCAGTATCAACGTATTCCTTATCTGCCTTCTTATTTAACTCATCGTTAACATAAGTTTTATCCGCTTTAAGGTCTAAACATCCTGAAACCCACCTGTATCAGCTTTAGTTTTTAAAATCTTTGATGTCCGTTCATGATACCATTCAACCCTTTCTTTAATTTCATTATCTTTTTCATCCACATATTCCTTATTGCTTTCTTCATAACACTATCAACCTTCTTAACATTATCTTTATCACATACTTGCTTCTTCATTATGTCATTTAGGAAACCTTTTATGAATTCCTCATTTAAATTAAATCTTCCAATCTTCAAAACTTTAGGAAATGCATTTAATGCGTAATATCTCTGTTCTTCTGGTGGAATTGATGTTATATCATCCGTTATTCCTTTAATTTTTGAATTCATAAATAAAATTTCTTTTATATTTGATATCACCGCACCACCTTTGCAAACGAATTCAAAATGGTCATTTTTCAATACTATCTCCAAATCTCCATATTTCAACCTTTGCGTTTGTTCTGCCGTCTTTGAATTATATGCATATGTGGCGTATGTAATGGTCTGTGGTTGTTGTTTAATCATTTATTACGATTTAAAAATAAATATTTAATCCGTTATCTCATCAGCTATTTTTTCTATTTGAAATTGCCATAATATTTCATTCATGAATTCTAAATCACAATCAAATAGGTCAGTTATTCTAAATTTAATATTTGATAAATCTTTTGAATGAAGAATAAATGAATTCCCGGATAATTGAAATGGATATGATAAAGAAAATGTGTTTAAGTTGATGGATAAAATGTTTTGTATTGATGGGTAAGAGTTAGGGTCTAATGTTTGATGTGAAAATCTCATTGGGGTATTAACTTTATCACATTTGATTAAAATGAAATTGAACCAGTGTCAGAATACAAAACATCCCCAACATCTTTTTCAAAATTTAATATCCCCAACAATGAACGAAGACGAGGAGTACAAAATTTAATTTTCAGCGGAAATTTAATAAGGTTATTTATTTCATCAAGTTCAAAAAGTTTATCAGGTTTTGATTTAAAATTTTCTTCATACCATACGATAAATGATTCATTTAAATAACTTAAAATTGTGTTAATATCCCATTTCACTATCACATTATTTATATACATATCATACGTTTTTTCATGGTCATCTTTAATAAATGATATATAATCTGAAGGGTCTAAAAGAATGGGATTAAATTTACCACTCACAGAAACGAGAGTAACATTATAAATTCCACTAACTGTTAAATTTAATTCACAGTTATTATTCGAAATAATATTGATAATTGACATTTTTTATTACGATTAAAAATATGGTAAAGCGTTATTTTCCAGTGATAAATAAAACTAGAATAAGATTACCTCAAGAATTCATAAATTCAACGAATAAGAAATTCATTCATGTTATAAATTTTAGTGTTTTCAGAAA